TAAAATTTCTTAAAATAGAGACAATAAACACCTAAAAATATTAAGAAATAAGCTAGTTAAGACCAAAACAAAAAGACCTTTACTTACAAGAGAACGAGAATGGACATTATGCGATTACTATTTTGAAAAGCTATTTGAACGACTAAAAACTGACACTTTAGCATTTAATTTTTATGTATTGTGTAATTTTGAAGCTATTTTCGATTTTTAATGATTTCGGGGATTTGTATGTCATGTACTGATTTTGGCGAATCGTGTTTTTGGAACAGTTTTAGGAAGAAATTCACCATAAATTGCACACGTACATTATTTTTGGATGATCTTTGTCAATACGAAACAAGACCTAAATCACTACAAGATAGTTAGGTTTGGTGAAAAATGTTTTGAGAAGATGAATTTAAAGACGGTTGTAACCATATCTTAATTTTTTTATTGGGCTTCTACACTATAGCCCCAAAATTTGATAATTACTAAATTGAATCATACTTATATGTTAAAATAAAAATTATATTGATGTGTTAGATTTTTTTTATTCTTGTGGATGATAATGAATTTTGACTTTTTGCTATGCCTAAAACAAATTAATATTATGACTTATTTAATGATATTATATCGGTCCTTAAATATGAAAAACTAAGGACTGATATAAGGTAGTTGCCCAGTTTCTGATTTTCAAATGCAATCTTCAAACAAAACGTGTTTGAAAAAAAAATTGAAATGGTTAAATCAATTTTAAAACAATTCTATATTTATTTTCAATACCAAACAAAAAAAAAATATTGTAAATTTTCACACATTTAATAATGACTTGGTTCTACTATTAGTATTAACATCGACAATATCAATATTATAGTTAATATTAAGTATTATTGATGTAACATTCACCACAAACATTATCATTATTAATATTATTATTGTAAATTAGATATCGGCATGTGTAATGCACAGATAAAAAAAGTAAGTTATTTAAATTAAAAATATATTATTTTATTAATTAATTAGTGTGTTATTTTAAATATAATTTCATTTAACTATGTTAGTGGTAGAAAATTGAAGTAACATATATGAAATTCTAAATTCTAAATTTATCTGTGAATTATATTCTCAAGTATTCTAAACTAGCTAACATTATTTTTCTTAGTATTAATTTTTTAAAAACTTATCTTTTAACATCTTATATTCTTCGATAACCTGTGAATAAATAAATTAAAATGTAAACAAAGATATTAAATATTTTGTAATGTCTTTGCAGCGGTTAACATTAAATTTTTTATAAATAAAATCACAAGTTAATAAATTAAAATTTTTCTTTTCATAGTAATTTTCTTTTAGAAAAATTATAATTTAACATAATTAAAAGAAATATGATTGAAGAGAGAAGATAAAAGGATCATGAAAAATGCTTTTACACATTTATCAATTACTCTTTTTAAGACTGATGTAATTTTTTTTAAATAAAAATAAAAAATATGCATATATATGACTAAATAAAACTGAACAATGTAAACTAATATATATTAAAATAATAATTATGATTGTATTGGATATTGAAGATAATTTTTTTTCTGTTACTTATAATTAATAATAATTATTTATTTGATTTTAGAAATATTTCTTAATAACTATTTTTAATAAAACTATAATATTTATTACTCTTTTGCAATTTAAAATTTCACCAAATTTAATCTCTTAATTAATAAAATTATTAATATATATAAACTAATTAAATGTAATTTCAAATTATCAGATACTTTATATTTAATATTAATTCATCTTGTGTCATTGTTGTTTATAATTAACATAAATGGATATAAATTTTTTTTTTTGTAAACGATAATTTAATTAAAAGTAATCTTTTAATTAATAGAATTATTTATATATATACTATTTTTAACTTATTTTCATATCATAATACATTATAGTTTTGGTCAACAAAAAAAAAACTTTCACTTTTTCTTATAATTAACAACAATTACTCGGCGTTTATTGATTTATATCTTTTATAATCTGCATTTTAACCAACTTTTTCCCTTGATTATATATTAAATAAATAATTAATATATATAAATACTAATTGAATATATTTTTAATGAATTTATTAATTATTTAACAAAAATTGCAACAAGATCATACAACTGATTATAATAATAAATATATAATAGTAAATGTATTTACGTTTAAAAAATAAAATCTCAAAATCATATGATTAGAAAATAAAAAATATTACTAATTTATCATTACATAGTTCAAATCTACATAGTCAATGTTATGTAAGTATTAATTCAAATTGTAATAATATTATGAATTGTATCTTAATTCAAAATTAATTGTAAAATATAACTATTGTATAAAATATAACTATTGTATAAATATGATTTAGTATTGAACTAATTAAAAATTAATGATTAAAAAAAAAAAAAGTATTACTAATTTATTATTAATCAGTTGAAATCAGCATAATCAATGTCATGTAAATGTTAATTGTAACAATATTATGGATATATCTATTAAATAAATGCAACTTAATATTATATTAATTGCAAAATTATATGATTAGAAGATAAAAACATTACTAATTTATTATTAGATGACTTAAATTAGTTTATCAACAGCTCTAATAAAGAAATGTGTCTATAGTGATCACTAAGTCATGAATGTAAATCCTTAATCCACTTTTTTATTATTCACATTTCAATAGAAGAAATTTAACTAATAAAAGTAGATATATAAATATATTAACCTTTGAAGAAAAAAGAGTGAGTGATGCAAGAAGAAAAATAAGAAATAAGACAGCAAAGAAGAGAAATCGTGAAAAAAATAAGTGATTTAATATAAGAAGAAAACACAAATAATACAGTAGAAAGTGCTAATAAATAATATATTTTCTCCACTTTAAATTTTCAGTAATAAATAAATAAATCATATTATTTATAATTAAACATAATATTTCATTTTCTAATTTTTCTAATATTTCTAAATTGAAACATATACAAATATTAATTTAAAAATATGTTGTATAATTAATATTTTTTTGACAAATGAATACTTTTTTGCATATAAATTCAATAATTATTCTACAATTATTTAATTTTAATGTTTAATGAACTTTTATAATTTTTTTTAATATCTACAAATTATATTATCAACCCTTATATATTAAAAATGATTATCTTGCACGAGAGCATTTTTAGGTATTTTTTTAATTTGGCTTTAAACTTTTTTGTCCATAATTTTGAAACATCTATTTAGGGATGATAATACATTTGTACCTATGAATAATATATGAATTGACCCGATTTTGACGAGAAATATCTAATTTGATTGGGCATATGTATGAATATAAGTAATATCTAATTTATTGAATTAGGTATGAGGATGAGATGAGTATATATATACCCACCTATACCCATTTTAAATTTCTAGAAACTTAGTTTATTTTTTTTAGAATTTACTTGATATTTATATAATTTTTACTCTATTTTAAATTTATTTCAAATGAAACTTAATAAATGTAATTACTACCTTATGTTGAATTTATTTTTTATATTTTTGTAAAAAAAATATTTAATTAATTTTTGGACAAATACGAACATACCTAATTATTTACTTCTCACATTTATTAACTTCTCACATTTCCTATAACAATCTCTTGTACATGGAAACAAAACACCTATAACTCAATTTCTCATAGAAAGTGTATTGTTTATCTAATTTACTATTCTTCTTCTCATGTAAATGAGGTTGGTTATCTCATGTGTGAAAAAAAAAATGAGAGAAGTGGAAAAAAGGAAGAAAAATAGTACCTTACATTTTCAATGAAGTTTGTAATGTGAAATGAGAATTAAACAATATAGAGTGAAAAGTGAATTAGATGGAGTATGAAAATGTAAAATAGAGAGTGGAACTGCGGAAGGGAGATGTAATAGTAAATAGAATTGCAGAAAAGTTAATAATAAAAGAAAAATAATATCTTTTAATTTTATTAATAATTACAATGAGATGAGAGTTAGACAATAGAAAGGTGAGAGGTGAATTAAATAAAATACATAAAAAAAATATGTAATATAAAGGATAAAGATGAAATATAATAGTAAATAGAAATGTAAAGACAATAGAAGAATAAGAGGTAAATTGAATAGAATGCATAGAAAATATGTAATATAAATGATAAAAAGGAAATATAATAGAAAATAAAAATGTAAAGAAAATGACATGTAAGCAAATATGTTGACGTAATAATATATGAATTGATTTTATGACATGTCAATGTAATGATATTTGATTTGACTTTTATATTATAAATAGATAGATATATAAATACCACCACTACTAACATTATCGCTTGTATTGCTACTACCAACACTAACATCATTATCATCACCGCTATTACAATTGCTATAATCGTTGACATCACATACCACACAAACACTCATAAGTTAATTTTAATAAGATAATTTTTTTTTAGAAATAGGTTTATTTTAAAATTAAGAAAAAAGTAGAAAGTAAAAAAGAAATTGTATAGCAAACACGTCCTAAAAATATAATTACATAGTTAAAAAAAGTTATTTTCAACAGATTTTAATATTTTTGAAAAATATTTTATGTATAAAAAATAAACATTTAACCTGCATTAAGATAGTAGTTATTGAAAAATAAAATTAAAAACATGAAAGTGAGATAGAATAATATTTGAGTTTGAGCTGTGGTGGCAGATCGCAGGAAGGAAGCGAGATGAAGGAAGAAGCACGTGGCGGTCAACTATAGATTGTGACATATGATAGGAACGATGGTAAGATATATAAATGGAATTGGATATCCTTGCATTTCGCCCAAACCATGCTTCTGTCTCTCTGTTTTTATCTCCTATTTGCTAATTCTGAATTAGCAGAGATATTCACGGTCTTTCCGAGCGTTTCAATGGTAATGGTGCATGCCTCACTGTCTCCAACCATTTTCTAAAACTAACTATCTCTTTCTTTCCCTGTTTTTCGATTTCAAGAGGTAATCATCTCCCTTCTCCATCTTATTCCTTCACAAAAATCTCTTTGCACGCAATTCAACCGACGCGAATCTCATCACTTCATTGTAACATTTTTGTTGCTTTGTTTATGTATTTTGGCTTTTCAGCTAATACAACGTAGGACAATGGTGTCTAACGAATTGTTGGTTGGTGGGGTTGCAGGGCAGGGCATCTGGGACTGGGAGGGGCTTTGTGTTCCTTCCCTGTATGATATGAGTGCTTGATTCGCCTTTCATCTCTTTCAACTTCTCTAAGGTCAATCAACTCAAACGACACCATGTCTGGACCTATGTCTCCCAAAACAGGTTAACTTATTAAATTGTAGGCCACCCGTTTTCTCTTTCACGTCCATTCCTTATCCATCTTTCTTAAATATATGCTCAAATATTTTACCTTTTGAATGTCGTTTATTAATTATCTTTTATAGTCTTGTCTTATGGATGCGCCTCTTGAATGTTATCATCTTGTAGGTTCTTTCAAGCAGAAAGCCTCAAACATGCTGAGGAATTCTTTGAAAAGGGGTAGACGAAGCAGCAAAGTCATGTCAGTTGAAATCGAGGACGTCCACGATGCTGAGGAGTTGAAAATAGTTGACGAGTTCCGTCAAGCTCTTATTTTGGATGAACTACTCCCTGCAAAACACGATGATTATCACATGATGCTTAGGTCTCTTCTTCTTCTCCCCCCGCATTCACTTTTCAATGCATTCACACATTGAGCAGTGACTCATATTTCATCTCAGCCAAGAAGCTTTTAACACTCATTTGAAATGCACTGACTACGTGCATAAATGACTGCACTGAATCTTGTTCCATTTATCATATGACTTGCATGCATGGTTATTGGATCCATGTCCTCCTAGAATGGGATATGTACTTGCATATCATGTCATGTCACTTATTAAAATGAGAAAGACATGAAACTTTTCTTACACTATTTTTGTATTTTGCTGTATAGATTCCTAAAGGCTAGGAAATTTGATATTGACAAAACAAAGCAAATGTGGTCTGAAATGCTCAAATGGAGGAAGGAATTTGGTGCTGACACTGTTACAGAGGTACTTGTAACTTGTAACAACAATGTTTATTGAGGCTTGAGGGGATTTATTTATTTATTTTATTGTTGTATGCCATTGCTTTCCTTTATGGCAGTTTTTTTAACTATTTCTTTTCTGCTCCTAACTCTTGCGTTCCTTTATACCAGGACTTCGAATTCAAAGAAATCGATGATGTTTTGAAATACTATCCCCAAGGACATCATGGAGTGGACAAAGAAGGAAGACCTGTGTACATAGAGAGATTAGGCCAAGTCGATGCCGGGAAGCTGATGCAAGTCACAACCATGGATCGCTATGTCAAATATCATGTAAAGGAGTTTGAGAGGACATTCGATGTAAAGTTTGCAGCTTGTTCAATTGCTGCAAAGAAGCACATCGATCAAAGTACAACTATCCTGGATGTGGAAGGAGTGGTACGATAAATAGTTAATTATATGTGCCAAGAATGAAGTCATAATTTATAAAAAGAAATTGGACATTTGAATATGGCTTAGCTTAAAATGACAAAACACAGTCTTTATTTTCTTCACACTTCACAGCCTTTTTAATATGAAACCTGATATCAATAATAGAGAGAAAAAATGGAAAATATGAGAAGCTTCTAAAACTTTGATATTGTATGAATGCTACAGGGGCTTAAGAGCTTCAACAAGCATGCTAGGGAACTAGTTACTCGCCTTCAGAAGATCGACGGTGACAACTATCCCGAGGTATTTTTTAGTTTTTCTACTTTGGTTAGATTTGTGGAAAAATAAAAAATAATTTTATTTTTATTTTTTTTATGAATAAATATCATGGATTACTGAGTAATTTATGTACTTGTTTGCTTCATTGCAGACCTTGAATCGCATGTTCATCATCAATGCAGGTTCTGGATTCAGAATACTGTGGAACACCGTAAAATCATTCCTTGATCCTAAGACCACAGCAAAAATCAATGTGATCATATAAACCTTATCCTAAATCTGCTTGTTTGGTCAGAAAAATATAACTATGTCACTAAAACATGCTTTTTCAGGTTCTTGGCAACAAGTATGATAGCAAATTGCTAGAGATAATTGATGCAAGGTGAGTTCATGAATAGGTGGAACATGAATATCATAGTATCTGGTTTTCCTTATTTTATAAGTGCTTCCTATCTCTTTGGTTTTTCCCCCTCCCCTGCTTTCATTCTCCATCTTAAAAGTCTTCCTATAAAACTGCGGCAAGATTATTGAGAAGCTTCTTGGTTTATCTTGCCAGTGAGTTGCCTGAATTTTTGGGAGGTACTTGTACTTGTGCTGATAAAGGAGGCTGTATGCGCTCAGATAAGGGCCCATGGAACGATCCAGAAATAATGAAGGTAGGCCTGCAATCCATTTTATTTTTCCTCTTTTTTTTTTTTTTCCCTTGCTCTTATTATAACTTCAGCTGATAATTTATGTCCATGTATGGATCCGGATTCCTAAACTAAGTGTATTACGGAATTGCAGATGGTTCAGCATGGTGCTCACAAATGTTCAAGTAAAACTGAATCTGTTGATGAGGATGAGAAAAAACATTCTGAGGTGAGATAGATCATTCTAAGCTATTTCATTTGATAATATAGTGATACATTTTGTTTCATTTAGTTCTGCCTCTTCGAATGCTATAGCTTTTCGTATGTCATTTTGATTTTGTAGATTCTCGGTGCTTTCTATCATCTATGAAATTTTGAACTAATAAATTAGCATGTATGTCTAGGAAAACCATACTCCCAAGTTGGAGGAAAATCCCACCCCCGAGGTTTCTCCAGTTGCCCAAGAGGTATGTTAAATATGCATATCCTTAAATCTAGTTAAAAATATACAGCTTTCAGGACATAATGGTGGTTGTTAAAGTTTTAGATAGACATAGTACTTCTGATGTAAATACAGATTAATTAAAGAAAAATATTCTATCTATCAGTTTATATAAGTATCTTCGTGTCAACTGAGCATGCATATGTGCCTTTCCTCTGTCGCTAGTATTTTAAGTGTTTTATTTTGTGACTGGCTTTTAGACACTCATTAGCTAAGTTTATACTGTATGTGGAGATTTCACAGCATATAGGTCCTTCTGACTTCTGAGTATTAGTAGTTTGTAGGGCATACATTATCCTTGTTTTTTTAATGCTCCTTGTTTCCTTAGTTCTGAAAAAACTTAAGCCTCACAGGTCCCTGCTACTGAAGCTTTGAAGCCCGAGGAGCCTGCCACTCAACCTTCCAAGCCTGAGGAGCTTGCTACTAAACCTTCCAAGAAAGAGGACCTAACCCCAAAGCCTCATAAAATTGCTTCTAAAAAAGGTGACAAGGTTGAGTCACTTGCAGCATCAGCAGGTAGACCTCTATACATTTTGGACATTTGAGCTTTATATCTTTGTATAGATGAACATATACTGATATTATTAATAAAAATATTCATTTTTTTATTAATAATATTTTTAATTTTTATTCAAGTCAACTTAAAATATAATATAAATATTTAAAATAATGCCGCTAGTTTTTTGGAGACTTATTATCATAGAAAAGTAACATAACAAGTTGATTTGAGAAGGGGGATATACTTTTTCTAATAAATATAGTGTTATCTCCTGTTTTGCGATTTTTTGTAGAGATAAAATGTTTTTATTGTAAAATAATGTTTCTTAGTATTTTTTAAGCATTTGGTCTGACCAATTTGCCTGCAACTTTCTTTTTTTCAGCGGAGTTTGCTGCTGTCATGAAACGCATGGCTGAGTTGGAGCAGAAATTGCTCAACATTAATAATCAGCCTACTTCCATGCCAGCTGACAAGGAGCAAATGCTCAAAGCAACTATTACTCGAGCAGATGACTTGGAGAAACAACTTTTGGCCACCAAGAAGGTAAATAGTACATTATATTCATTTATACACGTAACTGTTTCCATTAAATTACAACTTATAAGCAAGAGCCAAATCAGTTATTGGGCGCATTTGGATAATCCAAAAAATTAGAGTAATAACTTTCAGGCACTGCACTTTTCAACACACTTCATTAACCCTCATCATTTTCTTTGTCTCGTTTTCTATCAAATCATGTCACTTAACATACTTATATTTTTCTCTCATTATCTGTCTCTTTCTAGGTGTTTGGGTGTCCAAAAATCATTTTGCAAAAAATTAAGCACTTCTTATCAAATGGTCACTTAATTATAAGTTTAATTATAAAGTTTATTAAAGTTAAAAAGAAGAATTTATAAAATAATCACAAGCCACTTCCACAGTTCCAAATTATGTAAGCCAAAGTGCTTCTGATTACCTATTGTTAATGGTTCTGAATTGTCAGGCTCTGGAGGATTCACTTGTAAAGCAAGAAGAGCTTTCGGCTTACGTGGAGAAAAAGAAACAGAAGAAGAAAAAGAGATTCGTATGTACCTTAACTTTGCTACTCACTACAGAATTATTTGGTTACTGAAGGTTTTTCATGTAACACTTTGCTTTTGTAATGCAGTACTTCTTCTGAGAGTAAAATTCAAGGATGTCCTGAGAAGAAAAGTCGTTCAGGGTTCAACGGGGAATTAGCTTTACTTTCTGCCTTGAGGAGACTTCCCAAATGCCCTCTTACATAAAATGTTCCAACATGCGAACTAGTAAATTTTCAAAACGACAAGAAGAAATATGCTCAATATATGAATAATGCTAATCAGAATTTTGGCCTCTTTTAGGATAGGACTTGCTCTCTAGTTTCTCTGTATATATTACATAATATATAGTGCTATGCGCGATATGCAAAGCCAACCGTATTATTTCCGTACAGAATCAAGCAATATCTAATACGAAATTAGAGGGCTTGTTTGATATATACATATATATGAAAAGGTAACTAACAAAAACATATTCCTTTTCCGGTTTAAGTAACAAAAGTGCTTCCTGTGTATAGGGCCATTTTTCGTGAAGTACACTTTTTCTTTTGGCCCAACAAAGGATAATTCCATATCTTGGTCTAAACGTTAATTATATTTTTTTTCTTTAACTTATGGACCTGGGCTTTAAACTCAACTAGTTATGAATTGAAAACTAACAAAGAACAAAAGACTGTCAGGTTTACCAGCTAGCCCAACCAATTGCAGGTTAATCAGAAATGGATCAACTAATTTTCAGGCAATACCGGACAAGGTTGAATAAATTATGTTTAGGTTAGATTTTTTGAGTTCAAAGCACTTTTTCGTTTATATCGAGGCCGAGAATATCAATGGTCCTGCCTAGATTATGAGAAGGAATATCATAGTCCTGTTTAACTTTTAAGGAATATATAATCGAGTATTTTAGTTTACATGAAAGAATTATAAAGTTTTAATTATGTATCAAGTGGAAATTGATCAAGAACATGTAGTTCAACACCATGTATATTCTTGTATCTTTGTAATTGTTGCAGGATACATTGTTGATAAACCTTTACGTTTTATCCTTTCTTTTTTATTTTTCATTCCCATCACCTATATATTTAGAAATACTATTGGAAAAGCATCAGCCAATTGGGGCTGTTTGTTGTTCAATTAAGAGGTATATATAAATGAGAAGGTGAGCTACGGATAAGGTATGCAACTGATGCATGCATACGAGTCAAAGAATATACATAATTATTATTTTTTTGGTGAACCGAGAATATATGCATGTTAAGCTATACATCTAATCATTTGTATGTCACTCTTTGCAAAACAAAAAAGCGTGCATGCGAAAATAGTTATTTGATCCTTTCATTATATGTTTCACGAGAAAAAAGTATTGTGCCATGTTATATAATATTAATTCATCACCATCACGGGTTTGTTCCAAAAATATGTACTTCATTTTCCTTCAAAAAACTTAAATAGAAGTGAGGATATAAGTGAAAACTGCAAAAGCAATTGAACACTGCAGTATGAAAGTGTGTTCAGTAGAAAATGGCAGGTACCGCATTCGCAAGCTTATCTAACATTTTATTGAACGTGGGGATGAAAACAGGTAGGTGGACTTCTAATCTTCCAAATACTAGTGTCATATCACTAGACACTAATTAATAATTGAGCTCTATTACCTTAAACGACCTCATTCAAAAGGGTCTTTAACCAAAATTTTCTACTGCTATATGTAAGCAGTTGTTCTTCTGTCAAGATTTTTTTTATTTATTATTTTATTATTTAGCACTAGAAATTTCATATAATACTTTCATACTCAGGGTGCAATGTGAAAAACAAAACAAAAAAAAACTTTTTATTATATTATTTTTTCTTTACCTTTATATATATATATATATATATAACAAAACATAAA